AAAAAAACAACGACGTTTTTGTAAAGGTACAAATGTTCTCAGTAATACTGCAAAAATTTCATGATTCAAAATAACGCTTGTGGTCAAATTAATCCTGGAATTAATTTCCTTTTCTTCATCTGGGATCTCAGAAATTAAAATGTTATGAATCTCAAACAATTCAATGTCTATAACATTAAAAAAAAACTAAAAAACATTCTCTGTAACTCCAGAAGTCAATAGACAAAGATGAAATTAAATTGTTCTACTGTTTGAAAAGTTATGCCATACCATAACTGTGAAACTAAAGAAGCAAAACACACATACTAATGAAATTAGGCATTATGCCACCTCCTGAACCTATGTGGGTTTTCTTCGGTGTGGTGGTGCCACCTGAAGGTGCACCGTCTCGCCTCGGAAACTGAACTTTCCTTGTGTCCAGCCATGACTCCCCAACCCACTCATCCAGACGTTTGTTAACTAAAATAAAAAAATAGTAATTTTTTGTGACAAATGATCAAAAAATAAACAAAAAAATATTTGTTATAATTATAATGTCTTGAGTAATAACATTTACATTCAGTTTTTGGGAGATTGATAAATTTAAAAGATGATAAATTTCTATTCAAATGTTGCTTACTATAATTTAGGATGTTACAAACTGTAACGGACTGGCGATAGCAGTGGAATGGTTAGTTTAAAAACAGTTTATTGTTTTTGGTAAAAAAAACTAATGGGTAATACACACTAAACAATGTTAATATTATTAAATACTAGAATTAAATTTTTGACTTCTACGAGTTCCATATATTTGTTGACTTACATTGTTTATAACAAATATGTTATTACTTACAGTCAACATAATGGACATAGTAGCCTCTTTGTCCTCTAATTTCTTTAATACTTATAATTTCCGCTAATGGCCAATCATCGCCTCCTTGCATGCGAACTGGCAAGCGACATCCTTCCACCAATGATGCCTGAGAGTAGAGTTACCTTATGAGTACACTTGTAAGAAATTTGTAATCAAATTTTACCGTTTAATTATAAGCATTAAATCACTGTTACCGCAGAATCACAAAATGTTGTAACTTCATCCTCGTTTTCGTTCATTTCACATTAAAATTAAATTAAATGTGAGGTAAATACACACGCTCTACAAATAAACATCTGTCAACTGTCAATGTCAAATTAAAATTCCAGATTCCACATAAAAATTGCCATTATTTACCATAATAGTACCCCACAGTTTTCAGAATATACGGCAAATAGGAAGTATACGAAAATTTGCTTTTGGTTTTTTGGCAGTGTCAGCTTTTGAAAATTTACTAGTGAAAGTGTTTACCAACGAAAGAGTATTAGTTTCCATTCTTCCCTTCATTTATTTAATATTCGGTCTGTGACTCAACTCTTAGATGACAGAAAAGAGAAAAAGTATAAATCTAACCTCAAAAAGTCAAAAGTCAAGTGGAGAGCTGGCGAATAAAATTTTGGTTGTTTGTTCCTATTTCATAACTTAATCAACCTTATATTCCTACTAAAAAGTAAAGTGTAACAAGGATATTACCTTGCATACATTTATAAAAAATGGCGGCACCTCCAGAAATGAGTGAAGCTGATCAAATTAAAACGGTGCGAATCGCTATATAACAATTTATAACACCGTGTTCTGAATTAAAACTCCTGTATAAAATTCGTAATTTTTCTTTCTAGTTCAAGGATTTTCTTATGCAGTACAACAAATTGTCGGAATTGTGTTTCAATGACTGTATTCATGACTTTACTTCCCGAACGCTAAGACCAACTGAGGTAATCATTTTATTTATCTATTATTGAACTTCATTCCTACAAGCTTGATATACCAGAATTGTTGTGCTTCTTTACTTCATTTGCATATAGAGCGGTATGATGTGAATAACACCAATTATTTTTAACCAGTAACATTCACCACTTTTAAAGGAGTTTATACAAAAATAAGGAGGAATAAACGAGTTTATAATAATATAAATTCTAAAATAATGCATGAAACATTGCCTTATGACCTGACCTGATATGGCACCTATATTACTGAAGTACTTTTATAAACCATTTCTTTCTGCTATACAATATTTTGTTTTATTTTCAGGAAAAGTGTACGCTGAATTGTATGGAGAAGTATTTAAGGATGAATCAGAGGGTTTCACAAAGATTCCATGAATTCCAGATGATTGCCAATGAAAATATGTTAGCATTGGCGCAAAAATCGGGGAATCCTAGCTAGTGAATTATTATAATTGCGTTTCTTATTTAGGTTCTTATTTCAAATGTTAATGAATATAGTAATGTTGAATAAAACCTGTGTTTTAAGTTGATTTACTGTGATATAGTGAATCTTGGTTAAGATTTCTTAAGTTATAGTAATTCTGTTATGGAAACAATGGTTTAAGTTAGTTCTATAGTAATAAAAGATTTGAAATTAATCTGGCCTTGTGTTCCTGATAAATTAAATCATTCCTCTGTCAAACATCTGTACAAAAAAGATAGAAAGGTTCATAACCATTTGGAAGTCTGTTAAATATTATTGTTAAAAAAAAGAGATAGAAATATATTTTCGAAAGGTGTTGCCAGTTGTCATTTACACTAAGATATATCAAATTATCACATTAATATAGACTCAACTTATTGATTTTGACCAAATTTAAAACTTGCTAGTACTCATTATATTAGTAGTAAAATAACACCAGTAAGAATATTTGACTTTCTACCCCTTTTGACATAAATAAATAAAACAAGTAAGCAATATTAAGAATTGTGTTTTTAATTTTGTAAAAAAATTAAAAAAACAAACAATTTTAACAATAAGATTAGCATTTATATGTGTCGCACAGCATGCATGAGATACTTTTTTTAGGGCAAGCTTTGAAACATTTTGGGTTTGGTGGAGAAAAGTCAAGGACAAAAGATGACTGGGAACTTGTGTAATCAAATAAGTAATCGTTAAATTTCGCTTCTACGGAATATTTCGCTTTGGTAGTATCATCATTATCATCTGGGGAGGTGTTGAGAACATATTTCAACGGGTAAGGTCCTGATGGTGCGTTACTAATTTTTGATGGCTTCGTACATATGTTGTATTGGCCTCCGTGTCTTACTACCCTAATGAGCGGTTGTCCGCAAGGCGTTTTGCAACAAGAGGTGGCTGATGGGCAGATAGGCGCACACTTCGGTACGAAGCAACATGGCTTCATGCAAGGCGGCTTCGAACAAGTGGCGATGCAAGACGTACATTCTCCACTCTTCATGCAGTTGTGACGTTCGATTTTCCTGAGTACAGAACAGGAAATATGGCCTGGCCGCCAACCACACCTTAACTGGAATACAGTAAAAACTGCTAAATGACATCGGTTAAAACATATAAATACGACTAAGACGAACTGAATATTAACGAATTGCACAAGACTTAATTTCCTCTTACACAAAAATATATTAATTTTTTTATAGTAGGTGGCAACACAGAAATAATTCTGGTTATAAAACACTTGTTTATGGCTTTTAATTGATAAGTTCTCATATGATTTCATAACATTTTTAATCTATGAAAAAATAAATACTACAGTACACCCACCTGATGTTCGGGAGCATCTTTTGCGGTGTAGTGCCATCCCATATGCTTAGGTACGGGACCGGCTTTGATGTCATCTTTGGTAAGACATCGGTGCTTTGGCAAATCGCAACGACCCAAGCAACTCACCGACGCTTTATTGCCTTACAAACATAAAATAGAAACAATTAGAAAAGAGATGAAACTGCTAAGGCAAATAAATGAAACAATTCTAAATATTTACTAAAAGAACCTAGACAGTTATTATGTTGTAGGTTTCTTAACATTTGTTTTATAATTACTCTTAACTATGAACCTACGATTTATGGGGAAAGGAATTAATTCATTTTACTTACATTTTGCCTTACAACAACATGCCATTTTTGTCTCAACATATCTGAAAAGAGGAATATAATTTACATTGCAGTTATTGCTAGAAATTTGACCGTTTATTTCGAGTTTAACTTTACTTTTCATCTTAGGAACTAACACTTTGGTTTTAATAATATTTTGTGCCATTTAAGTGCCTAAATTTAAGGTAAGATGTACGATGTTTATTAGTCTAATATGAGGGCTTCTGGTCATAGTACGAAACGATCGAAAGATAGATCCTTAATAAAATATAATATCTATTCCACTATTCGGAGCTATTCTTAGGTACAAAATACAATACCCGGATAACGTGGTCATTGACACTTCTGCAATTATTTGTAGAGTTATAAATTTTCAGTTACTAGATGGAGCAAAAAAAATAGTAATCGGCAGTTACCTTTTTGTGGTGGTAAATACTAATTATAAACGTTATTAATTAATATTTTGTATACTCATAAGTACACTTACATTCATAACAGTTTTTTTGTGTTCATATTGCATTTTGATATTTAAGTTTCCACCAATAACATGTTTCTGTGAGACACATATTTATTATGAAATATTTCGGTTAGCTTTTTTACATATTTTTTTTAGAATTATCTACGATTTCAGTAAAAAAATATAGGTTGACAGTACATAAATGTCAAAAATAAGAAGGTTACTTAGCAACTTTCCTTCTTGAAGGCCTGTGTTTTTAACTTTGTGAAGTCGCTAGAAAAAGGCGTTATTCAATTTTTGTTTATATTTTTAGGTTTCGATGCGAAGAGCTGTTACAAAAATCGAAGAGCTATTAATATAATAAATACTAGTTTTTCAATTGTGTAAAAGAATTCATACCTACATATTCCGCAACAAACTGCTTTTCAAATGATTTATGCAACTCCATAGATCACAAACGAACTAAGGATTTACCATATAATTAAAAAAAACCTTGGACTGTTCAATGGTCTAAAAGTAAAACATTTTTTAATGTACAAAATTATATTTTATTGTTGTTGCAGTATTTTATTCCCCCACACACTCCACTTGTCGTTATAAATATATGCAGCAAATGTGGTTTGGTCAATATAAAATAATTAATTTAATTTAACTTAATTTATTACATTATAGGATAGGAATTCTAATCTTAAAGTTTTCATTGTCTTTTATAATTTATTTTAACGTATTAACCGGCGTTGTTCTATTTTAACATTTTTCTTTTAAATTAATTTTTCTTACGTTTAACCTTTTTACTCGGAACCTCTTTTCTCTTACTACCACAGCAAAGAGATACTATAGCTTTCAAAGTGGCCAGTAGTAATATTAGTAATGCAGTGAACACCAGAACGATGTCGAGATTGAGGTATTGATACAAAGGCACGTCGGCTGCTGCTGTCCTATACGTGAAGTTTGAATACCGCGCCGCGAACTCTGTCCAATATATCGCCGTATCCAACGGTGCCATCGGACGATCGTGCCAAGCTTTTGACAATAGTTTAACGTTGGAGCGAAATCTGGAAGAAAAAGAAAAACTTAAGTTAATTTGTAACTTATGTTTATAAAAATTTTTAGTTAGTTATAATTGTGTTTGTTTGGTGAATGTCTTGTTGTTACGTAGTGTTGTGCGCAGTTAAGTAATGTGTGCAGTGACGAATATTTTGAAAAGGAAATAACTAAAGAATGCAATTGCCAGGGATCATCGCATTGAATGGTATAAAATCTTCCATATTTAAGTAGAAATCTTAAAAAATACTTAAAAACTTTTTTGACGGCTACTTTGTAATAATTATTTTATCTACATTACAAACAATTTATCTATTATTTTACTTATTCAATGATAAATACACAAATACAAAGTCGTTTTTTGCTTCGATTTGCAGCTAACGTCGATTATCTTTACTAGTCAGAGAACAATGTTCTGCGGCAAATTCCATTAAGTTCTCAGTATTCGTAATAATCAGGATGACCTCGAATAGTGCTTCCGACCGAAATCTCTCGAAACTCATAGTTTATTCGAGAATTTTGGTAAATGTATTATTTTAAGAGGGCTTTTATTACATACGCGGTATTTAATTAAAAATAAATGTACTTGAAACAACCATATTGTGGGAAATAAATAACAATCAATTGTTTGGGTTCTAAATTTTGATTGTTCTTTGTAAGTAACGGATTTAATATTAAAATAGGTATATTTTATACAAGACAAGTTAAGATAAATAATTCTTTTAATGTCTGATAAAAACTCAATAGTGTTTTATCAAAAAATGCGATTAAGTAAATGTTGAAGACGAGCGTCACCTTATCACTATAATAGACGGCTATGGATGTTAGAAATAGCAGTGCTTGTCAATTTTTGAAGTTAAATGTTTGCTTACTTTGGATCCAAAACTTTTTTGAAAGCAGCAATAAGATTTTCTTTAGTCAAGTCCCTGACTTGCAGTTGCACTCCTAGACCGCTCTCTTCTACCGCCGCGGCATTAGACGGTTGGTCACCGAAGACCGGCATTGCTACAACTGGTACGCCGAAGTGAATCGCTTCTGTTGTCCCTCCCATACCACCATGTGATAGGAAAGCCACTGTTTTTGGATGACCTGAATATAAAATTAATTAATAACTCTTTCGCGTAAATCAGTTTTATGCAAGTCTATTGAGGGATAGTGTTAGAACAATTTCAATTGCTCACAAATAAACTATCAACTAAATCTTACTAATATAAATGCGATAATTTAGATTCATGGATGTTTGTAAGAAGGTATCTCCGGAACGGCTTAACGGATCTTGATGAAATTCGGCACGCATGTAGAACATAGTTTGGAAGAGTACATAGGTTATTTATTGGGTATATTTTAATTCCCACGCGGACGGAGTCAGGCGACAACTAGTTATGTAAATAAAGGCATTAAAAATAAAAATGTGTTAAAAAAATGTTTACCCAAAATATCGACTTGGGGCAGCCAATCAGCTAGATAGAGTTTATTTTTATCGACGAGCAAAGTTTTATCCTCCCACTTCCAGACGAATCTCTGCGGCAATTCCTTCACAGCTCCCAACACCGCTTCGAGTTTGTCGCGAGGCATTGTAGAACTTTTAATAACTGATCCAAAACTTATGTATATCACACCATGTTCAGCGGCGTCGAAGAACTTTTTTAAATCCTGCCAATAAATAAGTTTCGTAAAGGAATTTGCATGTATTCCATTATGTTTTCAAAATATAATTTAAGTAACTGAAGATTTATTAAATCTTAAGCGTGTTGGAGACTTCAATACGAAGCTGTGTCATTAATTTAAGAGTCTAGCTAACCTTCAAAAGGTCAAAGACTCCAACGCTACATAAATACACGAGACAGAATCTTACCCAATAGATATAAATTAAGTACTATGATTAATAATTAACTTACTGATAAATACTCACACCTGTTAACAGCTTAGATTCTTGTACATGATAACCACCGACTTCTATTACATTAGCGGGGAACAATTTAGATCCGGTGAGTATGAAATTATGATATAACAGTAAGAATTTCATTTCCCGAGCTAAATCTTCTAAAGGAGGTATATCATCGAAGTATCTTGCGAGTGTGTTTTGATCGTTTCTTTGTGACACAAAATAGTAAAGCGTTTTGAAATACGTGTCGAAGATAACTCTTTCTAGTCTTTGTACAAACGTCGGCTTAGTTCCACCTTCGAGGAAATGGAACGACACGTACGAAGGATTATACGGTATACCTAACCTACTATAGTGCCAAGGCATCAATATATGAGACGTTATACCCACAACGGGTGCATTTAATTTGTAAGCTATTCCCAAAGCACAATCACTATTAAAAACTTCAACAACGACAACATCGTACTTCGGTTTTTGTTTAATCATGTTTTGTACATCTTTATTTGCTAACATAACTTCGCAGTTTTCTTTTCCACTTGTAGTCAAAAACACACCAACTTGTAGAACGGTCATGTAAGACCTATGTACCGGCATATCATCTTCTAATATCTTTATACTCCCCGCTAAACTTATATCATGATAATTCTTCGGCGGCACTTTTTCTGGGAAGTGGGATATTATTGTAACATTATGACCTCGTTTAGCCAATTCTCTTAAATAAACTCTGTGAACGAAGAAATGGCTCTTGCCCTGATACGGAAAGATGCCAAGGATGTTTAAACAACTCGCACTGTTAACTATTACAATTATTAGGAAGGTTAAAACGAGATTCATTTTCGCTTCGTAAACGGTCGTCCGCTCGCGCGCCGGCTTGATGTGAACTGGATGTTTTC